ACCAAACATACAGAAAGAAGAGACATAGTAATAATGGGGGACTTCAACTACTCTGATATTTGTTGGAAAGCAAACTTTGTCAAGAGTACAAGGTCCAACAAATTCCTCACTTGCTATGCAGACAGTTTTGTTGTCCAGAAGGTAGAAGAGTCAACCTGACATCAATATCAGGAAAGATTCTGGAGCAGACCATTAAGGAGGCAGTGTGAAATCACTTAGAAAGGAATGCTGTGATTACTAAAAGTCAACATGGATTTCTCAAAAACAAGTCATGCCAGACCATAATCTTATTTCTTTTTTCGATAGTTACAGGGGACGCTGTGGATGTTGCATATCTTAATTTCAGTAAAACCTTCATCAAAGTCCCCCATGAACTTCTTGCAAGCAAACTAGTCAAATGTGGGCAGGGCAATACTACTGTTAGTTGGATCTGTAATTGGTTAAGCGACCGAACCCAAAGGATGCTCACCAATGGTTCCTCTTCATCCTGGAAAGAAGTGACGAGAGGAGTGCTGCAAGGTTCGGTGGTGGATCCTGTTCTGTTCAATATCTCTATTAATGACTTGGATGAAGGGTTAGAAGGTGTGCGTATCCAGTTTGCAGATGACACCAGATTAGGAGGGATAGCTAATTCTTGAGAGGACAGGATCAGAATTCAAAATGACCTTAACAGATTAGAGAGCTGGGCCAAAACTAACAAAATGAATTTCAACAAGGACAAATGTAAAATACTACACTTAGGCAGAAAAAATGAAATGCAAAGATCCATATTGGGGGATGCCTGGCTCAACAACAGTCCATGTGAGAAAGATCTCGAAGTCTTAATGGACAACAAGTTGAGCATGACCCAACAGTGTGATGCAGTAGCTAAAAAAGGCAGTGGGATTTTGGACTGCATCAAAAGGAGAATAGTGTCTAGATCGAGGAAAGTCATGGTGCCTTTCTATTCTGCTTTGGTTAGACCTCACCTGGAATACTGTGTCCAATTCTGGGCACTACAGTTCAAAAGAGATATTGACAAGCTGGAAGGTGTCCAGAGGAGGGCAACTAAAATGATCAAAGGTCTGGAGACATGCCCTATAAGGAGAACTGGGTATGTTTAGCCTGCAGAAGAGAAGGTTGAGAGGAAACATAATAACCATGTTTAGATATGTGAAAGGTTGTCATGAGGAAGAGGGAGCAGATTTGGATTCCTTATTTTCAGATTAATATTTGATTTCAAAGTATGGCAGATGAGATGCATATGACCGAACAGAATCTGAGGGTGAAATATAAATACAAAGTGTAAGATCTCAAATGAAATTGTCCAGCAAAAATGGGGGGGGGGGGGGGGGGGGGGAGAGAGAGAGAGAAAGCTCATGTTGAAATCCAGATTATATGGATTCAAAAGTAGTGTTTTTTGAATAGATTTTGACGGGACAAAAAGTTTTTAAAACGTTTTAAAACTTGTTTAGTAAATAAAAACCAATAAGCAATGAGAATAAAGACTCATGAAAAATCAGAATCATTTATTAGGACTAATCTGGAAGTAATGCTACCCCTCTATTCCACCTTGGTTAGACCACACCTGGAATATTGTGTCCAATTCTGGGCACCACAATTGAAGAGAGATATTGACAAGCTGGAATGTGTCCAGAGGAGGGCGACTAAAATGATCAAGGATCTGGAGAGCAAGCCCTATGAAGAGCGGCTTAAAGAGCTGGGCATGTTTAGCCCGAAGAAGAGAAGGCTGAGAGGAGATATGATAGCCATGTATAAATATGTGAGAGGAAGTCACAGGGAGAAGGGAGCAAGCTTGTTTTCTGCTTCCCTGGAGACTAGGACACGGAACAATGGCTTCAAACTACAAGAAAGGAGATTCCATCTGAATATGAGGAAGAACTTCCTGACTGTGAGAGCTGTTCAGCACTGGAACTCTCGGCCCCGAGTGTGGTGAAGGCTCCTTCTTTGGAAGCTTTTAAACAGAGGCTGGATGACCATCTGTCAGGGGTGCTTTGAATGCAATATTCCTGCTTCTAGGCAGGGGGTTGGACTGGATGGCCCATGAGGTCTCTTCCAATTCTATGATTCTATTAGTTTCAATTGTAGAATCACTAGATATTGTAGATTGACACAAGGACAAGCTCAATAAGGATGCCTTCACCTTGGGTTTATAGAATGTCCTAAGTAAGGTCTGATCCTACCTGTATAATCCATACAATAATTTGTAAGGATTTAAAGTAAAGGTAAAGATTTCCCTTTGACATTAAACCTAGTCATTTCTGATTCTGGGGGTGGTGCTCATCTCCATTTCTAAGCCGAAGAGCTTGCATTGTCCATAGACACCTCCAAGGTCATGTGGCTTGCATGACAGCTTGAAGCGCCGTTATCTTCCTGCTGGAGCGGTACCTATTGATCTACTTACATTTGCATGTTTTTGAAGTGCTAGGTTGGCAGCAGCTTGGGCTAACAGCAGGAGCTCACCTTGCTCCCCAGATTTGAACAGCCAGCCTTTCAGTCAGCAAATTCAGCAGCTCAGTGGTTTAACCCACTGCACCACTGGCGGCTCCTGCAAGGAGGTTGTGTAGTCTAAAAACAACGCAGTCTAAGTACCTGCAACCTGAGTGTGCATCTACACTGTAGAATTAATCAAGTTTGACATCACTTTAACAGCCATGGCTCAATGTTATGGAATTCTGAGATTTGTAGGTTGGTGAGGCACCTGCAAACTACAAATCTACAAGGCAAAAGACCTTGTAAAATTACAGCTGTCATGATTCCACAGCGTCGAGTCGTGACAGTTAAAGTGGTGTTAAACTACTTCAATTCTACTTCCCTGGAGACTTCTACAGTATAGATTCAGCCTCAGTGTACTAGGGTAGTTATAAGCCCCACATTGTGAGACTTGTAGCTAGAACTGTAGAATTTTAATGGTACTTCTGATATATGTGCTTAATATGATTCTTCCGCATCTCCTAATAGCAGGTCTGCACAACTTGTGCCCCCCCCCCCAGGTGTTTTGGACTTCAACTCCTAGAATTCTTGTCTATTAGAACAGCTGGCCAGAGCTTCTTGGAATTGGAGGCCAAATACCTGGAGGGTTGCAGGTTGTGCAGGCTTGCCTAATAGTGATTATACAGTATTCTATACACATACATAGGCACATAGAGGACAAGAGAGAGCTTATAGAGCGGATACTTCATGTACACATATGTTTTGCAAATGTAGGAGATTATCTCACATCAGGTACCCCCATCAGTTGGAGTGCTTTGAATGGGATCTTCCTGCTTCTTGGCAGGGGGTTCTATGATTCTAGATATAAAGCCCAATTTAATCTCCAAACTACATCAATGATCTTAGACCACACTATAAAACTCCATAGAACAAATAAAGTTAATATGCTATAAGATTTGATGAAAAAGATTATTTTTATTTTTATTCTTCCCTGTTTTGTGGGACTTCTTTCTGTAGAATTTAGCTTGTGCTTGGATTGAAATGTGGTATTTCTGTAGAAAAAAGTCTAGTCATTTCAACATTTTCCTAAGAGACAGAGACTTACCAAAAACTTACCAAAGTTATATTATATAGAGTTGTGAGTTGTCTGGGCTGTATGACCATGTTCCAGAAGCATTCTCTCCTGATGTTTTGCCCACATCTATGGCAGGCATCCTCAGAGGTTGTGAGGTGTGTTGGAAACTAGGCAAGTGGGGTTTATATATCTGTGGAATGTCCAGGGTGGGAGAAAGAAATCTTGTCTGTTTGAGGCAAGTGTGAATTGATCACCTTTTTTAGCATTAAATATCCTTGCAGCTTCAAGGCATGGTTGTTTCCTGCCTGGGGGAATCTTTTGTTGGGAGGTAATTAGATGGCCTGAATGTTTTTTGTCTGGAATTCCCCTGTTTTGTGTGTTGTTCTTTGTTTACTGACCTGATTTTAGAATTTTTAAAATTACTAGTAGCTAGATTTTGTTCATTTTCATGGTTTTTTCCTTTCTGTTGAAATTGTCCACATGCTTGTGGATTTCAGTGGCTTGTGTAGTCTGACATGGTAGTTGTTAGAGTGGTCCAGCATTTCTGTGTTCTCAAATAATATACTGTGTCCAGGTTGGTTAATCAAGTGCTGTGCTATGGTTGACTTCTCTGATTGAGTTAGTCTGCAGTGCCGTTCTTGTTCCTTGATTTGTGTTTGAGTGCTACGTTTAGTGGTCCCTATGTAAACTTGTTCGCGTCTGCATGGTATACGGTAAACTCCTGCAGAAGTGAGAGGATCCCTCCTATCCTTTCCACAGATATATAATTCCCATTTTCCTTGTTTCCATCAAACCTCACAACCTCTGAAGATGCCTGCCATAAATGTGGGTGAAACGTCAGGAGAGAATGTTTCTGGAACATGGCCTTATATCCCAGAAAATTCACAGCAACCCGGTGATTCCGGCCATGAAAGCCTTTGATGAAACATATTATATAGATTTGGTTTATTTTAAAAGAATTACTGATTTCTGAAATATACAGCTTGCAGATCTATTTCTATCCTGCTCCTCTTCTATCAAGTCTAAAATCTGTGGAATTCTTGGGAAGCACCTCCATGTGAGAGCTTGCTGTTTTAGTTTGATTCTATGACTTTGGTAATAGAGCGTTTAGGTAGATTTTCATATAAAGAGAAACAATGTTAAGAACTAATAAATATGAGGACTGCATAATAGTGTCTTGCCACATGTTTTTCGCAAGATGCACATTTTCTTTTGAACAATCTGTGTGACACACACACAAAAGCTAGAAATTGTTTATTGCCCAAGGAGAAGGCATTTTTGTGGTTTCTTCCCAGTATGCTCTAGGAAACTAATTCATAGGGCCCTGGTTCTTCTTGCTGCTGCTGCTGCCCAATTCCTTTCTACTGTCCTGCCTGGTCTGTGTTGCCTCTAGTTTTCCCCTCTGCACATTGCAGTGAACATCCCTGGGAAAGGGATTGTAGATTTATCTGGTGCCTGTGTCTTTCTACTGCTACCCTCTAGTGGCTGTCATGGCTTCCTGCAGTGACAGCAGCTCAGAGCGGGTGAGGCAAATGCAGCGAGCAGAGAGGAATCAATACACAGAGAAAACGAGACTGGGAAGAAGGAGAAGGGAGGAGTCGCCTCATCAGCCATTCTTGTCTTACAGGGTCCCAGCTGTCATTGGTAAAAAAAAATAAGGGAGGGAGGGAGAGGATTTACTATTGTGTGAGGCAGGAGAGAGGGAGTGAGACTGAAAGGGGAAGAAGAGGAAAGCAAGGAGGCACGGTCTTCTTCCACCTGAGCCTGAGCTTCTTTACAAGCTAATATTGCTCAGAGATTGGAGAGCAGAAGCCGGCTCTGTCCCTGCAACAACTGCGGCACATCATGTCTGGCTACCAGGGCAAGAAGAACATCCCCCGGATAACTGTGAGTGGCAAATACTCCCCTCCCTCTCCCTTTCCCCTTGTAATGCATGATTTTCCTATTTGTTGTGTAGCAACTTACTCCACCTCGGCAACTCCCAGCACTATTTATCCCTTTTCTTGGAAGCTAATACAGATGGATGTGTGTTTAATAGGGACGTTATGTAGCAAGGGTGGTGGTAGGAGATGGCCCCAAGTGAGCAAATCTTTTATTATTTATGATCTCTGTAAAAATGGGTGTGAGAATCTGCATTGTTCCATACTGTTCATTACTAATTAGAAAACCTTTGTACTTAGACAGAACCATGGTGTTTGTCTGCAATATCTTCCTGTCCCAAACTGTTGCAATTGACTCCCCCTCCCTGCTCCCAATCTGTTGTCCTCTCTGCGGGGGCATAATGAGGACTTAGTGACATTTTGTCTTCTAGACCTGCTTGGTGGGAGTGTTGTCGCTTCTCTAGTTTAGAATGTTTGCTCGCTTTTAAAAGGTTTTGGACATGGAATGGGTAGATTTAACCAAGTCAAGCTGCATTTTTAAGTTGTTTTTTATCCTTTCATTTTTGTTTTGATCTGTCACCACTTTTGTTTAAGCAGTGAAAGAGGCTGTGTCCAAGTTGCTTGCTGCATAGTTTTGTTTGCTGCATATTTGGGTGCGTCATGTGCTTTGGCGCAGGAAAAAGAGGAATATAAGAGTGAAAGCTCTGGTTTCTTTTCTCTGCCTTTAAGTAGTGGGGTTTTTGTTCGTTCATTTCACTGAAGAAGAGTGAACATGAAAGGAAAATGCTTTAAAAAATCTCAATGCTTTTCATCATCCTTAGTGCGTGCCATGCAGATGAATTTCTAGTGGCTCTATACCCCACCCTGATTTATTGTTGATGCAATGAAACGCCTTGCAGTAGGGTACCCCCTTGGTCTCTAAAAGGCCTGGGGTTTATTGTTGCTGGCTCTAGATGCAAGGAGTGCAGCTGGGCTTTGTCTCCTGTGCATTTTAATGAAATCTTTTGTGGAATAAGGTATGCATTGGGGGAACTGGTGGCTACTCCATCTTTAAGGCAAACAAAGGAAACACAACCCAAGCACACATACACACACACACACATATAGAAGGTGGAGGAAAAGAAGCTTGTCTTCTCAGTATACCTGTTCAGAGTGCAAGTCATATCTCTAAAGAATTCCACTCCCTTTTCTTTTTTCATTGAGCCTTGCAGAGAAATATTTTTATGTAATAGTTTATTTTCTTTGTTCAGTCTTTGAATTTAACACAGTCATATAAAATAGATGCTAAAGGATTTATTTTGTTGGCATATTTGCCTACCCGTGACCTTGATTCAAGGAGTTAAGCTTAACTAAAGACATACCAGGTTGTGTTTGTTTTTATACACTTGGAACTAATTACAGAAAAGGAGTCGACATAGGCGACATCTTATTTCACACTCCGCTTTGAGAAGAACCATTTTGAACACTTCTGAGTGATCTGCTTTTAATGCCAAAAGATTAACCCGGGGGAATGAATCCTTTTACCATTCAAGATAGTTATTACCTGCTTTCAATTAAAGCAAATAAACAGCTATGTAAATATTTATCACACTAACCTTGTGACGGTGGTGCATCTATTCCTTCTGGGTGTGTAAGGTGTGACCTACATTATTTAAATGCCCTAATACATTTTTCTTTTGTGTGGCTGTACCTGACTGCAGCAGTTTTGATTCTCTGATGCTCTGTGTAGAGTAGCCACACCTACCTTAGTATCCATCATATCCAATGCATTCTTTGAAATAACAGGCAGTCCAGCAGCACCCGAGGGCTTGGTTAGAGATTTCATATTCTGGCCTCCTTTGGCACTATTCTCCCTTCTATATGCAGCCCTTTGCTGTGGAACAAGAAAGGAGCATTTCTGAGGTTCTTGGGAGGTTCTTTCAGTGTTGTCTCTTTTATTGATTTGTCTAGCTTTATGTTACCTTTTAATGGAATGAATTGAATATGCTAGAGTAGAATTACTTAAAATAAATAGATCCTATCTGAGACTGTGATTTTAAAAGCATTTTTAAAAACCCCTTTTATAAGTTATTGTAAAAATAGATTTAAATTGATAATAATTGCGAAAGGAATCATTTTCTGGCCATGAACCCTGATTTTGATATACTGACACGTCGACCACTGTGTATGTCAATCATTGATACGTGTACTCCCTGTGGACGTCATATTTTATTTGCAGAATGGTTGCACTATTATGGAATATATGTTACTTGAATATGAAGAGATGTGGAAATGGATGAGGAACTGCTTTCCTAGGTGTTCTGAAGAAAAAACGTGTCACATGAATTTTGAAGGGTGTGGCTACTCAGGAAATTAATCTGATCCTATCCTATGTTTCATCCTACAATCAGAAATGCTTTCCAAGAGGCATAATATAGCTCAAGATTTAATGTGTCCACAGCACCAACTGCCACATGTCACCAATGCATGTTGCATGCTGCTTGTGTTTTTCTCATTACAGTGCTGTAAGAGAGGCCCTGAAGTCCACCCTAAGGACAGTGAGCAGCTGGATTAAAAGCAAAGGCCCTCTTTTGTCATAACTGATAATGAATCCCACTGCTAATCATGCATGTTGGTCTGAACACACTGATATACCTCCCCCAAATGGTATGGCCTGGTGATATATATGGGGCTTTTGGACTGAAGCTAAGCATAAACATTTCTGGATTATTTTTGGGGACAAGTCATGTAGAGTTAAAGTGTTAATATCTTTTTATCTCACTCAAACACAGTATTGCCCTCTCTTCAGATCTTTTTGGATGTTTATGTTGAAAGTACGATTAAATGTGAGATTACTATTTCTCATATTAGTACTGTTTATATGTGACTATTTTTATTTATTTATTTATTTATTTGCTTCATTTCTATACCGCATTTTTCAGCCTGATAAGGCGACTCAATGCGGTTTACACAATGAAAATTATCACAATAACATCAATACTATCACAACAATATCCTAAACAATTAAAACACATCATATACAGCAGCAAAAAAGTGTGTCGTTTGTGGCAACTGCTGTCTTGAAGATGACATTCCAGCCATGAGCATTGCAGCTCAGTCTGCCATTGTGATGTAGACTAGAGAGGTTGTAGAATTCATTGGAAAAACTAGGTGGATTTGTGTCAAAAAGTGAAGATTACAGGATTCCTGTAATATGTTCTGTGTGGGGTTGCCTTTGAAAAGTGTTCAGGAGACTCAACCTGCTTAATTGCAGGTGGAGTATTGAATAGGACTGGTCAGAAAAAGTATACCTTGTTATAACATGAGCTACCAATCTGTTTACAGACAGAAATTAAAATACTAGTTATGCCCTCTGCAGCTCTATAGGACTTCCATCTTCTCATATGAGCTTGCTCATATTTTAATGTCTTTGGAGGAGGCCCTTTTTTGCCATGCCATCTTTAGAAACATGTCAGGTAGGAATGTAGGATCTTCCTCCTTCCTAGACAGACTAGATTTCATTCCTCCTTGTTCTTCTACTGCTGACTAGATTTATTTTAAATATTCATACATCAGAATTACGTTCTGATTTCCAGTTATGGGAAGCACATGCAACTTCACGCACAAATATACTGTGCTGTACAGAATCATCCAGAGAATTGTATATGTTGAACATAAGCACATTTTGATTCCATAATTTTGCTGAAAGGGTCTTTTCTTACAAGCCCATCACTTCTTCATCATTACTCTTCTTCCCATTTGGATAATGCTCATACTACTTTCCTGTCTGGATTCAACTCTCATTCCTTCTCTGTACTTAATAGGTCACTGATGTTGAAAAATAAATAAGACACATGCGTCAAGATACAACTCAGAGAAGAAAAAGTCCAAGACATACTTCCATGTTAAAATGCACAATGCACATTGTTTGGATGCAGACTAGAACTTAAAATATGTCATTCATTTTACCAAAAGAAACACTTGAAAAGTAATGCAATGACAACTTTTTTTCTCTTGTAGACAAGAGTCCTGCTGTGTCCTCTGTTTTTATGAAGGTGATGTAAATACAACTGTCATCCCTGCAAACTGAGGGGCCATGTAAATTCAGATGTACATATTCCACAAAGTGACTCTCACACCTGTCATGAATAGTCTTGGTGCTGTAACTGCTACCAAAAAGATACACTTATGGGTGTCTTTCTATTGTGTTTGCAACTTGGCTATGCGTTATACCCTACACAACAGGAATATACTGTGAAAAGAAAAGATGTTCACTGTACACCAAAAGGGAGAAAAGCCTGCTCTAAAAGGAGAATCACATAGTTGATGTAAATAGATTTGAGCAAGTCATTTTACCTTTGGGCCTCCATTTCTCTGTAAAAATTAGAAATGACAAGCTTCTACTAACCCATTAAAGAAAAAACAAAAACTTTCCAGATTCAAATTGACTAAATTTGCTCCAGGCAATATATCCAAGATGCAGAAACTGTCTAGACAACTGTGATTTTATAGTCATTTTTCTGGGAAAGGTTTTATCCTTTCAAAAAAAAAAAAAACAACCCATAGCATAGATTGTTCCTATGATTTCACACAGAGCTTTTCTGAGCACACTACACACCTATTAATAAATTCTTCATGTTTACTTTTTAATCTAAATACAGATGTTATATTTATCCTTGTCACCAGCATCACCAAGAGCAATAACAACACTTAGATTACAAGAATTGGAATTTGAGACAGATTACAAAAAAATGAATGAGATACAGTAGATCCTCTGGATTTAGACAGCGACCACAGATCCTCACACTCCATATTATTTAATGGTGGTGATGTGAATGTGGACACACCAAAATATGCATGTTCATGTTGACATACTTTTTGTATCTATATGATGTCCTATAATCAAACCCCAGTTGATACATTATTAAGCTATCTATAGGATTTTATAAAGTACTAGCTGTCCCCTGCCATGCCTTGCTGTGGCCCACTGTGGTGGTCATGGGGGTTCGGTGTGGGAGGTTTGGCCCA